AGAACCCAGAGCAATCAATGCTGACAGAAGGCACCTTTCCCCTGAGTAGCTGTCTGAATACTAATCTGAGCATTAGCAAAGATGTATGATTGCTGACAGAAGGCACCTATCCCCTGAGTAGCTGTCAGAATACTAATCTGAGTATTAGCAAAGATGTATCATTGGGACGCTGGACCCGGTTTCCAGCAGGTGCTGCTCCCCACCAATAGATGGAGCCTCCCCACTGGTGCTAGTGGTGCCTGCTCTTACCAGCACCGCTAGCAGCAGCCCGGGCTGTTTTTTGTTAAAAAAAAAAAAAAAAAAACTGGTTGTGATGGGCTGTCCTGCAAGTTGAGGGGAGAGGCTCAGCGGCTGCGTTCACATCCCCGTGAAGGGTCGCATAGGAAGGCTGGCTCATTAATTTTGGGAAATTTGTCATTTATGGAAGGGAAGGAGAATGTTGGCCGCAGAGAAAGGAGAGGGAACTGGGACAGGTACTTGTTCAGTGCCATATCGAATCATCAAGGAAGCAACACATCGTCAATGCCACTACAAGTCTAAAACATTATAACAAGATGACAAGTCACTCAGCGAGGCCCAGTCCCAGTCCCAGTCAATGCCGCAATGACTGGGACTGGACCTCGCTGCACCACTCACCAAAAATGCACAACAAACAAAACTTATGGCAGTGCATCTTTCCATGTCCTAGCGGAAGGTTCGTTGTCATTTCTACATTAAATTTTGGTGAGTGGTGCAGCGAGGCACTATACAACAAAAGGCCATCGAATGAAAAAAGTGACACCTAAAAGACATGAGGTTAAACCACCAGTACCTCACTCAGCTATCGGCCGCGGGCCTTCCCGTATACGTGCCGCAGCCTTAGGGGGGTCGGCCAAGGGAAGGCCCGGCTGTAGCGCTAAGGCCGGGCCCCGGTTCTGTAGGGATGACACTACTACAGAAAACAATAAAAGAAAGAAAACAATAAAAGAAAGAAGGGGAAAAAAAAAGAAAAACACAAACGAAAAAAAAACGAAATACACAGAAGGAAAGTCGGACGGGAGGGAGGGAGAGAGAGAGAGAGAGAGAGAGAGAGAGAGAGAGAGAGAGAGAGAGAGAGAGAGAGAGAGAGAGAGTCTCGAAATGGGAATGCATCTTCCCGCTATCGCGGGAAGATTCATTCGCGTTTCGTTTCTTGAAAAAAAAAAAGAGAGAGAGTGAGAGAGAGAGGCGGCGAGTTCGGCGCGACCCTCCGTGCATGCCGCCGCCCCTCTCTCTCTCTCTCTCTCTCTCTCTCTCTC